TGGTCCACGGTAAGTGAGAAAATTATGGTGGAAATGAGAGTGAAGTGGTAACGTTATATATTTCTTTTCCCCTTTTGTTTTCTTAAGCTCTTTCTGAACAAAGGCATAAGAGGAAACACCCAGGGTGCAGGCTGATGCTGGAGCCAGCTAGATCAGACCGGTAGCTGTTAGAGAGTAGGGGGTGGTGAAGGAGAAGGGAGGCGAGAGAAGAGGAGGGGGAGATGGGATGAAGGGTGGAGCAGCGGATGGGGTGGGAGAAGGGGGAAGAAGGGAAAAAAAAGATGTGACGAGGAAAGCTGGAGGTGGAGGAGCAGGGGAACGCAGAGGTTAAGTGTTTCGGGACACAATATGAGATGGATACTCTGGCAGACAGCTTAGACCCCACTCCATCAGTGATGTAATGCATATGGCAGATTCTATTTTTAGCCATCCTAGTACACTTAGCTCAGCATACAGGGCGATCGATCAGCTGCACACTCACTGCGAGTATTAGAGCTGCAGCCAACAGCACCTAAATATTTTGCCTCTGTGCAGTTTGATGTTGTAGGATTTCTCCTTTGTCGTGTTAACAAGTAAATATGTGTTTTTGGTGGCATTTTGCACTGTATATTATGTGTTCTTTTGTCTTTATCTTGACGATGTTGCTGTCGGTATCATTTAGATTGCCAGGAAAAGTTCATGAAAAAGGGCATTTAGTTATTTTTATGCCAGTTTGTTACAATATGTTAAATGGCCTGTATTTGTATAGCGTTTTACTTAGTCCCTAAGGACCCCAAAGCGCTTTACATATCCAGTCATCCACCCATTCACGCACACATTCACACACTGGTGATGGCAAGCTACATTGTAGCCACAGCCACCCTGGGGCGCACTGACAGAGGCGAGGCTGCCGGACACTGGCGCCACCGGGCCCTCTGACCACCACCAGTAGGCAACGGGTGAAATGTCTTGCCCAAGGACACAATGACCGAGACTGTCGGAGCCGGGGCTCGAACCTTCTGATTATGAACTGCCAACTCATGAGCCATGATCGCCCCCTATACAATACAAAAATGTGTTTACATCTTGTCCAGTGAAAGTAAAATTATTCCCAAGGCAGTAGGAACAAAACAAAGCACAATAACAGCAGTGAATGGGGTGCTTCCAGGCCACAAAACAAATGGGGGCTTTCTGACATTTCTTGGAAATTTAGCCAAAGCGATGAATGAATAGTTATTGAAGCTCAACGTCATTGGTCTAATGACAAAGTCTGTGGATGAAGAGCTGCTTCTGTATTATTTTCTGTCTAATTTTCTTTGTTATTTACTTGTTTTCAGTTATGTTGTGGAAAAAAACTGCATGCCTGAATTGTATCTTTGTATACTGGGGTAACCGATTACCAGGACAGCTGGATGTGTGTGAGCTTTGGTGATTCCTGTTTTATCAGACACAAGAACATGCAAGCACACACACAGCACAGACTTCACTGACAGGACTTGTATTTAGAGTCCTGTATCACCTCCCAGTGTCGGCTGTGAATAAGTCTATAGCCTGAGGGTCTAGACAGGTTGACTCCCAGTGTGTTACACAATAGGGGAAAAAAGAGCCTGGAGACAAAAAGCAGATCAGTAGCTTATAAACTACCTGATAAACTTCATGTCCACACCTGTCACTTCCCCTTACTCTACCAACCTATTCCATATTGGTAGGTCACACTGCGAGTGGACTGAACAATGACATTCATACCTTCTTTGCTAACTTCTGTTAGCTAATTAGTTATAGCTATCCATGACAAACTGAGCCCTGTAACAGAGGCATCCTATTAAAAAATATAAATATAGTTTGTGTTTAATGTAACCAGTGATTCATTACCATTCTGACAGTTGGCTATAATCCCATTATAAGATTTCCATCTGAACAGTGACTACTACCCAAATGATCACTCCTCTCATCAAGTTTAATAAAATTTCTTTGGCCACATAATAAGGGGAGTAATCATAATGATTAAAACACTGTAAGCATCAGGGTGCGGCTGTGTGGCAGGCAAGATGTGGATTCAAATGCAGGACTTGGGAGAAAGAACATGAACTCAAAAAGCAGCTTTAATGCTGAACTCTTCACCTAAAATACAAAATAGACAGCGACTAAGCAGGCGCAGACGATTCAAACGCGAAGAATCTCCTGGGAAACATGGAACTAGAAAACACACAAGCACTAGGGATTATGAAACAAAGGACAAGGGGAGACTCAGGCAAGATATGCATACACAGGTAACGAGGGGAGATGAAGCAGGTGTAAGGACAGTTACAGATACTAATCGGGAAAATGAGCCGAAGGAAGTGAAACCTAACACAAAAACACGGAGAACAATACCATAGCAAGTCATGACAGATTTAGCTAACTTTGATTCAGTGCCCTACATAAGAGTTAGTTGTCAACCACCTGATATGAAGTGTGATGTATTAATATGTCCCTGTTGAGTGGTAACAATAGAGTGAGAACAAAAGCAAAAAAGAGAGCCTGCTCCTCATGTGCTTGTGTGTATCTGTCCGTACTACTACCTACTGAATGCCTGTTGGACAAGGCAGATAAAAAACAGACGAGTTCTAATCAAATCAAATCTTTAACTTATTCAGAGTGGTTGCTTTTACCTCGCTTCTGTTGTTGAGAACAAGAACAGTACAAAAACAGAGCCTCGTGCATTTCTAAGAGGCAGTTACATGTTCAAAGCACTGCATACGTTCATTTCAGTCCTTTCCCTTTCCCCCATACATAGCTGTTTCTCTGTACCTGTCATTTTGTCACCGCCTGCTATTAGGTTCACTTCCTGCGACTATTAAGCTATTTCACAAAAGGCTATGCTAAACTTGTGTGGATTCATTGGTCAAAGCTGTATTATTGCATGAAACGGACACAGAATCTGACCTAAAAAATCATGAAACTCTTACAATGAACATAGCCAAGATGCCAGTGAGGCCTTGGACCTCACGTTATTACACGAGGTAATTATACTTTCTAGTCACTCTTGCCCTTCTTGCTCTGGCACTTTTTGCTTAGTACCTATGGTCAGGCCACACCCATCTCCCAGCAGGCTGTTTATTTCGATTCCAGCTACGTACTTGTGAAGTTTTGTGACTTTATCTTGTACGTTTGCAGTTTTCTCCCAGATATTTGAATCACCTCTGTGGTGTCTCTTGAACCATCATTTGTCCACACAAATAGCGAAAGCAACATCTTAGCTACACAATCACAGCTCCAGTGTCTCAACATGTAAACACCTACTAAATTATTTACAAAAAAAAAAGTTATCTATTCCAATTTTGTCATGATGATGCATACAAACTCACACACTCAAGGTGAAAACAATATTACCTGTGCTATCACAGCTGCTGATCAACTGAAGTACACATTAAAGAGAATGTTTAGTATTTATTGTTACTCTGCTTGGTTTTTCAAAGTTATAATCTTGGTGCGTATATCTACATCCCGTTGGCTCATGATTTTATATCTTGCAGATTTTAAGCATTTGGTAATTTCCCCCCATCATTTTGCTTTTAGGCGACATAAGCATAACTCTGCTAAAAATACCTAACCCTGTTTTTTCCCATAAGCTACCCAAACAGCTTGTTGATTCAGGCATCATTCCAGGTAGCTCAGGCACGAATTTCCTTCCTATGCCATCCTATCCACATACACACCCTCCAGGGCTTGGTGTACCAATGAGAAAGTGACGTATGATTCTTAGTTTCCTTAAAATAGGGACTGACTTTTCCTCTCGCTCAGCAAGAGGATGCAGACAGGGTTGGGAAGTGCTGGAAAATCCAGAAATGGACATTTTGGGATTTCCTAGGTTAACAAAAAGTTAGAAAATATGACCGACCAAAATTTCAGTGGAAAACCTATAAAGAATAGACATTCGAGAAGTGACTGCATGATGTCAGCCTATTTAAACATGCAGTATTTGTGGTGTCATCTAAAAGGCAACAAGTATAAGCTGTGGGTCGATGAGTTTGGAAAACAGGTTTCACCATGCTTATGCGGTAACTGTACAGACTGACGTGATGAAATCAATGAAACCACAGAGTGCTACTGGCTTACTAAAGCGCACGGTCTATATATAATGTATATTGTAGTATCAGTATACACTGAGGTGTTTCAGAGAGGTAGATATCTGTATCTGATCTGTAAAAACTGTGACTGTTAAAGTCAGACCTAATTACTCAAAGATTAGATGCTAGTTAAAATTGAAATTTATTCAGCAGACACCTTTCTTATTACCTAAAGCCATTTTTGCTACTTGTTTGTTGACAATAATGAAAACGTAGGCAACACTTGAGACCAAGTTATCATTTTTCCCACAACTCTCAACTCCTGCTGTCGTCCATTCACCCCCTATCTGGTCCATGGCACTGGTAGTGATCCGACAGGCTGCAGGTTATGTAACAATCACCCGGCCGCTTTGGCACTAGAGTTTAATAAAACTTTCTGATGGACAACAGAGCAGCAGTATTTTGTGCTGTTCTCATGGGTTTTCGACACAATCCTGCCTCTAATCATATAGATTGCATTTTTGCCCCATTGCATTCATGCTTATGAAACTCGCTCTCCCTTGCTGCTGTCTCTTTTGCCTTCTCTTGCTCGCTCTGTCTCTCACACACACATATGCACACTTTCCACAAGCTGTTTTTGTAACGTGCATCACCCACACATTTTTGCATTCTTTGTGTGCGTGTGGGATGAAAGGACGATATGACAAAACATATTTATCAGTGTTGTAGATGCTTTTACTTCTTCTTCCGCCTTCAGAGCTTGCTGCAAGGTGATGTAACAGGTCTGCAGGATGGGATATCTCTCTTTGGGAGGTGTGCATATCAGAGTCCTGCAGTCTTCTTTAAAAATGTATACACTATATAACAGGCAATAAATGGCCTCATGCTCAATGTGGACTGCTGACACTGCACTCAACCTGTGTGGGTGTCAGTTTGGCAGGCATGCAAAATCTGACTGTGTTGTGCAAAATCTGCATATGCAGTAGCTGAAATGAAAACTTGTTGCTTTGTCTTTATAGTCACAAGGATGAAAAGTTGAGTTAAAGACAATACTAAACTATTTCAAATGTGTGTTTCTCTTTTTATCATGTTTGTCTGCAGATTTGTTTCCTGGTGTCAGCTTTCCGTGGCCAAGTGTTTTCAGAGGACAGCTGTGCTACTCTGGCGCTCTTCTCTCATTATTTCCATCTCAGTCAGTTCTTTTGGATGCTCATACAGGTAATGATAGGTTCACAGTGAACACTAGATACATGTGAGGAGGAAAAAATATATATAACACTTTTGATTTCTGACAAGTGGAAAAAATGTATCTTTCTGTAACTGCCTTTTGCATTTGTGCAAACAACATTTGGAAGAAGCGACTGCTATGGCAACTGAAGATTGATGAGATACAACACATGTGCTACGGCAAGGGGGAGAAAGGACGTCAGGTCACCCAAGACTGGGTACCAAGTATGACTGAAGGAGCGTTAGGTGCGAGAGCAGCTGACCTCACTTGAAGAGGTATACCAGAGAGACAGAAGCCAGGGGAATAAACCGCTCCAAAGAACCAAGGCATACTCTGCTAATTGACGAGAGACACCCAGAATAGCTAACCGAAGGCCAAACAGTCCTAATCCCCAAGGATCTCCAGAAAGGACCAGTCCCATCCAATTACCTGCCTCAGTACCACGTGGAAGCTCCTGTCAGACATCATAGTGGCACATGGCTCAATACATAAACAGGGCACAAAAAGGAATTGGCAAGGAATACCAGATTGGCAAAACAATTTGGTATTCCTTCATCAGGAACTCAATGGGGATGTGGTGAACAACACTAGAGGCCAACTTCAAGCCTATAGCACATGTCACCATCAAGTGTCATTGACAAGATTGGCTACAGATACCCACTACGGAATAGAACAATCATCAGGCGCCATGGATGACGTCAAGCTGTATGCCAATAGTGAACGACACATTGAGTCACTGATCCACAACACTAGGATCTATAGTAATAACATGTGAATGTGAATGTCATTTGGACTGGAGTGTAGGCAGATGGTAACAAAGAGATGGAACATACTCAGAACTGAGGGGATCTCACTACCAGAAGGCAACATTGCAGACACTGAGGACAGCTACAAGTACCTGGGAATCCCACAGGCAAATGGGAAACACGAAGAGGCGTCTAAGAAAGCTGCAACCACCAAGTACCTGCAGAGGGTAAGGCAAGTCCTGAGGAGTCCGCTGAATGGGAAGAACAACACATATGCCCTGCCCATGATCAGATACCCTGCTGGGATAATAAACTGGCCAAAGGAGGCAATAGAAGCCACTGACATGAAGACAAGGAGGCTCCTGACCACATATGGTGGGTTTCACCCCAAATCCTGCACTGTGACACTTTACGGAAAATAGCCACAACAGACCATGTGCTTAGTGAATACCTCAGGCAGTAGAAACCCAAGAAAGAAGTGGAGAAGGAGAACAACCATCACGGAAGGACAGGCCCCTGCACAGTATGTACCAGCAGATAGAAGAAGTGGCTGGATCCAGAGATCCCACCAGTGGCTGGACTGAAAGACAGCACAGAAGCACTAATCATCGCAGCACAGGATCAAGCTCGGAGCACAACATAAATAGAAGCTGGGATCTACCACACCAAGCAAGACCCCAGATGCAGGCTGTAAAAAGATGCCCCTGAGGCAATCCAGCACATAACAGCAGTGTGAAAGATGCTAGCAGGCAGGGTATGCATGGGACGCCATAACCAAGTTGCCAGTATAGCATATAGAAACATCTGCCATGAGTACTGCCTGGAAGTGCTGAAGTCAAAATGGGACATGCAACCAATTGTGGTCGAGAATGACCGAGCTTAGGTCCTTTGGGACGTCTGTGCTGTCTGTTTAAATATGCTTCTCCACCTTCCTCCTGCCTATTTTATCTCATAATTTGGCATTGCCAAGGTTCCTATTCTTTCTTTTTATTTCATACATATGGCATTTGGTTTATGTGCAACAGGCAGTGAAATTTGATTGTTTTACCACATCTACTGGGGCAGTCATAAAGTTACCAGTGCACTGCACTGGCATGCCCTTTGCCCAGGATCACCTTATAATACCTTACAAGGACCCTAAACAGCTCCTTCTTAACAAGACCTTCTTATTCTTTTATTTCTTTCTTTGCATTATATTGGTCAACACCAAAGCCACCCAAGATTTTTAGGAACATGAAGACTGTAAACATACATCTGTGCATTGTAATTGTAATCCTGGAAAGAGTTTATTGATGACTTATGACCTGCTGCAATAGCAAAGGAATGCAGGGAGAGGTTTCATCAGCAGCTTTAGTGCTGCTGCTGCGGTGATAAACCCTTTTCCTAAGTAATCCGCCTCCTAACGAGTCCTGAACTGCAAAGAAACAAAGGTAGTTGCGTAATACAGGAAATCCTTGGATGTTTGTTTATTTATTTGTAATTTTTGAAATATAACCTGATTAAATAGATTTGACAGACATTAGACAATAACTTTATCTATATTATTTGTCTGTGCCATACATATGTATTTGTTGTGTAATTCTTCCAAACAATCTTAAATCCACTTGATGACAATCAAGCTGAAGGCTCAGGCTCAGTTGTTGTCATTTTTTGTTTTTTTAAGAAGGGAAATGGGATTTATCACCATCATAAATCACAATTTATGCTATTATGAGTCAAACTGAATTCACAGTAACAAAAACACCGTCACATAAGACACATGTTACCAATAGGAATGGTATCCCTAAATGAACTTCCCCATCTACCCATCTTTTCCTACCTGTTGTCCTTCTCTTGCATAACATTTGCCTTGTTCTCATCAATCTTCAACCTTTTGTAACATGTGACATGCGTACGTGAACATAACCAGTGTTTACATAGGGAACATAATATGTAATAATGTTATTGGTAAAGTATTATAAGATTAGCTGTGGCATAAGCTGACCACAGCAGGGTAATACTGGAACCATGCAGCGGCGTACGTGTTGGACGCAGTGGGCTTTTTCTCATATCTGATTGTTTACTATGACTTCTGGGAGATTTTAAGGGATAAAGTCTCGGGCCGAAGGCTTTCATGTGGCTTAAGCGGTGTTAGAATTTGGATGGGCAGATCTGGAGCTCAAATAAAATTGGTTGTGACGTGCAAGCTGGTTTTAGACACACATGGTAGTAGTTAGTAGGGTAACAGCTGACTGGATCGAGTGAAGGACACAAACAGTGATTCACCCTGTAAAGAATTCAAATAGGAGGATTAATGAAGCATGAAGAAAAAACACTTAGGCTTTTGTTGGTTTATTTATATACTCACTCACAGATTTGTTTTTTTCGTAACATGCCCTGTTCGTTAAGGTTGAATTTAAATAGAGAGCCAGACTGTGTGATAGAAAAGGCAGATATGTTACAAAGGTAAGGAAGTGTTATTCATTAGAAGCACAATTTCAAAAAAGACGGGCGAACAAAGCAGGACAAAAGGAAGAGAGGAAGAAAAAGTAATACAACGTAAAGGCCAGGACCATGGCATTGTTCTTTAACACCCCTTCAAAAAATATCTTGTTATTTCATAAATGTCAACTCTAACTGTGAATGTAGCTGACAAGAAAAATATTACCGCCACCTTGGCTTTCACTGATGCGGGGAACCGAGACCCTTCCATCCTCACCAACATCTCTGCATTGACCCCAGTGATGTCTCACCACTCAAGTTTCCCTCAGATCAGGTAGCTGCTTTCAGATAAGTGGCTTATATGAGTGGGCGCCAGCAGCTCATCTCAGGGCATGACAAAGACCTGAATCAATAACAGCAGTGTGAGTGTGTGTAATTGAGAGTAGTGAGAACGGGCACGTCCAAAACCTGATCAGGGGAATATGCACTGGCATAAAGCTTGAAAACACACAATAATGTGGCCACTGTCCAGAGCAGCTATGTGTTGAATGCAGAGGTTTGCAGTTAACATCAGCTTACTAAAAATTGCACATTATTAAATAAGTGTACAAAGTCTTAAAGGCATCAGGATTAGGATTTCTGGGATTTTTCCTGAGCTAGCTAGTGAAGCCAGGATGACACATTTCTAGCTTGCTAAATAATATCTTTATGTGATAATGCCTGTCCTGTTTCCTCGCCAATTAGTCATCCAGTCATTTGGGACTTTTAATACAACACCAATGGTTCATGTGACCAATTTACAACTGGTATTTACCTTCAGTGGTAACTTGCGGTTTTGGCTTTATTTGCACTGCGGAAACTAAATATAGCTCATATCTAAAAACTTGGTGAAGTAGTCCCAACATGATCTGCACAAAGCATGAACTGTTTTTATTGGAAAATTACAAGACCAAGCAATATGAAAAAAGTTTACTTAAACAGTGTGGTAGTAAATATTTAAAAAATACTGCATTTTTTTCTGCGGTGAGATTGAGCCAACCTATTATTGTGGCTCCATGAGTGATATGGCCACTGCAAAACAACAGCTCAGCACAAAGTTGCCCATAATCCCTTTACTGTACCACAATGACTGCAGTTTTCTCACAGCCAGTGAATAACACTTCTTGAATCTGACTGACATTATGTATTATCTCAGGGGAGTCGAGCTGTTACACAACGGGAACCGTACAGTCTTGTTTGCTGCATCTGCTGCATCTGTGTTTGTGGGTTTGTGTTCATGTTGGTGTGGTTATGAAGCAAGGTCTTTTTGGGTCAGTGGTTATACAATATTGTTACGGTAGAGGTTGAGCAGAGTAATCATAGGGAGAGGTCAACATCATTTGACCTTGTGTCATTAGTTGCATCACATCTTCCTCTTTGCAAATGTGTTGCTCGAGTGCTTGCAAACAGATAGACATTATCAGCTGTTATTCATTACAGCTGTTGACCTGTTGCATACATTTTAATAGCATTTCCTTTTTTTCATGTTCAAATGTAATACTTTATAGACTTTTGTTTTTTATGTATGTTAGATGGCAAAAAGCTTGTAAAACAGCTCGTAACGCACCATATATGAGCGAAATGTGAAAGAGAAAATGAAGTGTTAGTGTGCTTGACATGAGGATAAGACATCGTCTGCTTGCTGTCAACAGGTGTTCACATAAGCCAGTTATGCAACAGTGGATGGCTTAGTAAAGCAGATAGATGAGACTATAAAAGCCTTCTAGATAACTAAGCAAACATAGATATTTTTGGGTGTGATATGCGGATGGATATACTTGTGTGTTTTTGTGTTTTACTGACTATAAAGACCAAATGTGCACACAACCGAGGAAGGTTTAAAAATCATCAAAGGGGAAGATGTCGAGCCTTTTCTCCCCCTTTTATTTATTGTGCTGCGATAAGTTTAAGATACATTTCATAGTCTGTAAAAGTTACTTTTTTATTTTTATATCCCCGTGAATAAGTTGTTTTCTCAAACTGTTTTCTCAGGCGGTGAACTTCTGGCAAGTGCTCGTGATGAATGATGAGCACACAGAACGCCGATACCTGCTCTACTTCCTCCTGGGGTGGGGACTTCCTGCTTTGGTCATCATCATCCTGGTCATCGTGTTACTTGGTGGCTTTGGATGGAAAATACATGAAGTATATGGACTGGTGCAAGGCGATGTGTGAGTTAGCAACACATGTAAATACACACACAAGTGGTCTTTTTGAACTGATGGCATGTATCCAGTGAATCGTAAGTACACTTAGGAGAGTATTTGTTAAACTGGTATGAGTCGTTTACAGTGATTTCAGTTTCTTTTTTAAGCTTAGGGAAATTCCACTTCAGACTAGGTAGAGCAAACAGAGCCAGTGAGCCTGCCCAATCAAATGACTGAATGAATGAACGTCTCATGTTTGTTTGCATGCCTCTCCCCACACTGAAAAACTTCAGTCTCGGAGGTGGAGTCTTTGAGAAATCACGCCATACAGAGCCTTATATAGCTGTTTCCCTTAAATTACCTAAAGCACAGAAACAATAGAAGAAATCACTGTGTACAAAAAACACATACAAAGGTCCCAACACAGGTGAGTTGCCCGTGTCTTTATGTGCATCCATCTTCCATGTCTTTCATTTGTGAACAAATGTTCAATAATAGTCAAAGAAGTATGAAGCTGAAACTCCTAAACCACATCTATAATAAGTCAATGGTCTAAGGTGTGCCTGTTATCCTTGGGATCAAGTATCTGTGGGTGTTTCCTGTGGATGGGAGTGTGAAACAGTGAGCGCATACAGGAGAGATTTAAGAACATAGAGGAGTATTCAGTTTCCCAGGAGCACACCTTCCTCTTTGAGGACATAAGGCAGCTTTTCACTTCTTTTCCTTCTCTCGCTCTGTTTCTCTCCTTCGCTCTCTCCTCTTCGGTGTTAACAGCTAGTCTCTTGTTTTCTCACCACTCGTTTCAGTTTCGCCTTGCTTGCATACAAAAGTGTTAAGCTCACACCTTGTGTCAATAGACTTTGTATCCTTTAGACTTAATTGCTTATGGGAGCACATTTTTTTACTCTGTCTTTTTGCTTTCCACTACTACACTCACGCTGTAGTAGAGAGATATGAAGATTTATGGATAAATAAGTGCAGAACGGTGTAAAGTTACCATTTCCATGCCTCTACCATCACTGTTGTGCTGGGACATTGTCTTTCATATAGACCAGTTTGTACTTAACCCCAGCTATGTGCATTGAGCATATTAAGGATTTCTCTCTTCTGATGGTTATCACATTATGAGGCAGTGAGTGACTATAATGTCCTGTGGTTTCTGCCTTTTTTAATCTTTATTGTGGATCATATGTTGTACATCTTTAAAAGGAAGAAAACAAAAAGCCAACTTTAACATTGAATCCTCTCTCACCACCCATGGACAACTGCTCAGCAAAAGTGGTCATAAACATTTCAGCAGCATTAAATTTTGTTTTGAATGAGTCTAGTTTGAGACTGATTACACTCATGAATATTTTGACCCTTTTGTAGTCTCAAGTTGCATCTTCCAAACATGGGGTCTTGTGATCACATGATTTAAGTAAAAATGTTATCATAGAGTGGTAACATAGGATCTTACTGTGGTATACATTTAAAAGAAAATCCCAGCAGCCTTTGGATGAAAACCCTCTATAAAAGGCATGATTAACTTTCTTTCTCTCAAGCTAAGAAATGGGTGCGTTAGACCCCTGGGTAATGTTTTTTTTTCATTCAATTCAGGAATCCCTGGGATTTCCCATCCTTGTGAGACTTTCACTATAGTTAGAGGTCATCCCCTTAACAAGGCCCCAACAGTACAGCTGTCCATTTTCCACTGTATTTAGACTAGGGGCCCGGCTGTCTTTTTGTGACATGGTGATCCAGCGCTTTATTTGGCATAGCTCATCTTATGTTGTGACTACGACAGATCCAATTATTTTTCTGCAATCACTCAAACATGCGGAAGTCCTGTCTGATTTGATGCTCGCACCGAACCAGAGCGTGAATGTGTTTTGTGAAAAGGTTGTGGTCACATCAGTGTTGTTCTAGTTGTTTGGCAACAAATATCAAGGATGTTGATTTTCCCAGAGGAAAACCGCAGTTTTCTTTAATAAAGATAAACATGCCTGAAAGATCCTGAGACGGTAGTTCAAGAGGTTCACCGGGAAAACAGCATAGAGATAGACTGTATAATACTGACAGTACCAACTTCTTACTGACATTTTAAAAAAAAATTGTATTAATAATTCTCCAAAGAAAGTTCTTCTTTACCTGTTAAAAAGGATGAACAGTGGAAATCACGTGACCCCTATGGATATATATTCTTATAATTGCCGATGGATTTATCGGTGGTTGTGTCCGATGTGTCACAAAGCAACAAAGTATAAAGAAGAGTTGCGTTATGATTAAATTAAATTAAATATAGAGCAGTTTAATATTTTCAGTTTTTCCAGACGTTATCTGTGAGTTAGATGTGTTCTTTATGCTATGGTGACACAAAGGATCACTGTTTGGAAATAGCAGCCAAAATTATTGCAGCCGTGTGAAAATTTCAGATTAAACAGAAATATTTATTAACTGCTTATATTCAGAGTCTAGTCAGAACCTCACAACAGAAACAGAAATAACAAATAGTGACATAGTTGCTGCAAAATGATGATTTAACTGCTAAACGACAAACATTTCGCTCTTATACAGGACTATAACTACAATACAACCAGATGGTAACCAGCTATGTTAAGTCCCCCACTCCAAAGAGATGTGTTGCAGAGAAGTTAATTGCAACATGTCGCCAATCTGTCTGCTTTTATAAATTAGACAGCAGTTATTTGCAAGCCTTCACTACTCTGTCTGAGAGTAATTGCAGTTGGTGTGATTTGGACCCTGACTGTTTGGAGATAAGTTGCCTCCCACCAGATAACCCGTGCAGTCACCTTGCAGTCAAAAGAAGCAGCTCATAGGTTGAGAATGTTGCATGTTCAACCTCTGGGGAACCCGCTTGTTGCTACAACTACTTGAAGTTGTTTGCAGAATATAAAAATAATTCAGTGCAATCATCAGACAACTGGAGATTTTTTCCTAGTTGCAAGATGGCTTATTGTAAGTTTTGTAAGTGTGTCTTTCATCTTATTTTCCTTATCTTCTAGGTGCTTTATCCCAAACATCTATGTAGCTCTGTGCACGGCAGTGCTGGTGCCTCTCATCTGTCTTGTTGCTGTGGTGGTTGTATTCATCCACATCTACCAAGTTACTGAGCAGTGGAAGGCCTACGATGACATTTACCGTGGACGGACTAACAGCACAGGTAAAAACCAAATATGTGACTACACACACAAACACACACAAATATATTAATGTATGCATAAGCAGAGATTTTATTATTTTACCACTTCCTGTTACCACAAAGAGATCATGGGAGTTACATCTGCATTTACACTCAGTCACACCCAATTTCTTTCTTTCGTGGACATGTACAAACACCACTAGGATGTCCCTCTGGAACGAAGCTACAAACAACATACCCTTATTTTGGGCAGAAGCTTTCATCCCCTATTTTCCAGTTTGCTGTTTGCTGGAGACAAAAACAGATTTAGGGTTTTTGCAGAAAGTGCAAACTTTCAGTTATCTAACACACACAAAAACACCCATCAGCACAATGTAGTAGTAGGTGTGCAAACTTGTACATTTCCAACTTGTAGATTATTCAGAATTCTTGTTTGCACACACACATCCATCATGGATTTATGACCCGCACGAATCAGCTCTGTTTATACAGTGCAGTTAGTCCCTTTGGCCACACATGAAGATTCAGCCAAACCACTTTACTTGCTGATCATCGGGGCTGCAATCAATGGCCATCAGTGGGAATCGGCAGGCTTTAGCTTGTTTTGCTCAGTCAAGGCTCTCCGGTGACAAAGCCAAACCTGAATTAGTGCCAGTTCTTTTGTTGGCAAGCAGCTTGCCCGCAAACTGTGCAGGAGTGTTGAGGCAGTGTAGATGCTTTACTGAGTTGCAGGTATGTGTGCATTATTCAAAAAGGAACAGCACTTTCTCATTCACAAACCAGGCTGAGGCAAAGGGCCAGCCTGTAGGATTTGTACTTCACATGAGCAGTTTTTTGTGAGGAAAGCGAAAGAAAATAGAGTAAATTGGACAAACATTTATGTTTGAAATATGATACTCTAATGTGTGATGATTCACAATAGCCTAAACTTTTGACCTATACTGTACATACATACACAATTGTACATATCTACATGCACATATAAACATAACATGCCCACAAACACACTTTAGTGCACATTGTATACTCCAGTGTTTGCAGTGTACTCTGCTGTTGTCAGTGTCTCAATATGTCTAAAGTCCAAAGAAGAATAAAACAATTATGGGAGAATATATTTATTGCTGTAAACACAGGCTACCCTTCTGCTCATTTCCCGGAATTACTTAAAGGTTGTATGAGTTGACTTAAAACAACAGGAACTGAACCCTGCACTATGCAGCAGCATGACAATCATGACAGTCAATAATTATCCCTATTATTTGTCCACTGCTTGCAGGCTCTGTGTGCGCTTCTGCAGTAATCCAAATAATAACTATTCATATTAAGCACTTAGAGTAAACTCAACCTTGACTTTCCCAGCCAGCTGAGATTCGTGCAGAACCTGCTGGACTGCTGATGCTATTTTGACAATGAACGCCATGTGCATGTTTTCAAATTCCTTAGTGAAGCAACAACCGATGAGATAAGCTAACAGCTAATCTGTGTCTGTCTGTGTGTTTGTGCCTGCGTGCCTGCGCACGTGCACGCAAGATTATGAGAACCGCACATGTAAAATTCACAGGACTGTGTGAAATTTAGCAGAACTTCTGACGTCAGTGAAATCAAGGAAGTGCGTTGGTGGGCTTTCATTTATGTTCCTCCCCATCAACAGATTTGAGAAAGTCTGGAGTTCTGCCAATGCAGGGCAGCGAATAATAATAAACGAACAAAAGGTACAACAGTGCATATCAGAAGCACAACAGTGAACCCTTATCTTGTGTTAGAAAGACTTTATGTTCCTGTGTTGCGCAAGTAACCAGACTTTAAGTTGAATGAATAACTATTATTGTTGCAGTTTTATGGCACTTAATGTTCCCTGGCTCCACTTTTAGCATTGATTGGTCAGCAGTATGGAAACACAAATAAATGATGGATAATGTTTAATTACTTAATATTGTTTTATTTACTTTGTGTGTTTGAGTGTTGCTGCTTTATTTGTATGCTAAGCGCATGCTTATATTTGTCATATCCTTATTAGTAATGGCCTTGAAATGCACATCCTTATTTGGACATTGTACTTTAACAGCTGATTGTTTTTATCATCTTGTTTCTAGTATTATTTTTTTTCCTTTGGTCATTACTCCTAGCTGTAAGTAGATGCACTCAACACACGCTTACTCCTGCTTGTTGTTATTACAGCTGGTGACTTCTCTGTGACCTTAATGTTAGCACGATCTCGAGTTTCTTTCTGGTTGTTTTCCTTCTGTGCATGCTCACTTCTCAGTTTGTCTTCTCACACCAAGAACGCTGCACTGGTCAAATTTGAACTTGAGCCTGTCTGCTTGCCTGTGGATGAAAGCAGCGTGTGTTTGTTGTACAGAAAGAAAGATAGCCATGACATCATCGAGCTTCTCTGAAACACAAAGCTTTTGCAGAGGATTGCATATGAATTCATGTCTGCTTATGCATAATATGAACACACACACACATGCACAGCCACACAGGCTCTTTGCTTCTACTTAGTGGTACAAAGCCAAACAGTCAGTCAGCTTTTTGCAGTTAGTCTCAACTCGGCTCTGGGAACCTGTTCTTACTGTGGGAGCTCTGGCCTGTCCACAGACAGGAATGTGCTTACATGGTTGGAAAAAGTCTAACCAGGGAGGGAGGAGATGAAGACAGATGTGCAAGACACACTAAAGCCAGAGAGAGAGAGAAAGAAAGAAATGGGAAAGATAGACGATAGAAATTGATAGATGGAAGATAGGAAAAAGTTGTTATTTAACCTACACGTGTTTGTAGACAGTTTGTCCACATAAGGCAAACCGAGATGAAGTGTGAAATAATAATGCATCAGAGGCCGTGACCAAGGCCAACAGCGAAGAAAGCACTAAAAAAGTATGATAGAGCTAAATAAATAAAAATACTCTGTGATAAGGAGCAGAAGTTAGAGCAGGGTGGAAATGACAGTGTGGTGGATGTGGCACCTAAGTGAGGGGTTTTTGTGCAAACCTGGGCCCGTGTCCTGTGTTTCCATCCTACTTGTGAAGAGAACTGTACACTCTGTCCTACATAACACCTTTCATGCAGACTGTAAGGAGAGTGACTCAACAGTGTAATTTTGAATCTGATGTTCCCTTCAAATCATCGTAAAAACAGCTTTTACGCCTCATGTAGCTGTAAAATTTATTATGTTTATCTTCTGTGACCCTGCACTTTTCACTTCAATACACACACACACATACACAGCATCACAGGTATTGTGAGCCTAATAAAAATGTCTTTTACATTCTTTGATAATGCAATGTGGAGTTAGTTATTAATCTAATGTTTCATAAACAGATCAGTACTGTAATCAAAACCAGTTTCTTTCATCTCCGGCTGCTTGCAAAAGTGAAGCCATTCTTCTGTTTCAGAGACTTTGAGAGCTAGCCGTGCCTTCATTTCATCTCGCCTCGATTTTTGTTGATACCTGAGTGTTTACTCAGGCGTCAGTCTGTCATCAGTTAGCCGACTGCTGCACGGTTACTAACTGGCAGAGCAAGCAAGACCACATATCTCCCATACTAGCATCCTTACACTGGCTTCCAGTCAGTTTTCAAATTGATTTTAAGATTTCATTATTCGTTTTTAAGCCATTGCACAGGTTAGCACCCTCATACCTTTCTGATCTTTTGAACTGGTACACTCCTGCAAGATCATTGAGGTCTGCAGATCAAATGCTCCTAGCTGTCCCAAAGTCCAGATTGAAGCACAGAGGTGATCGGGCCTTTGCTGTGACTGCTCCTAAACTGTGGAACAAACTGCCCCCTCACATCAGGACCTCCCCAACATTAGACAGTTTAAAACCCCCTTTTTTCTTGTTAACCCACTTTTATTCCTTTGCTTTTAAATCAGAATGAGTTTGTACTACTTTTATTTGTCTTTTTTCTGACTCAAATCTTCTCATTTTATGCTTCTTTTCTTAAATTTTGTCATGTCCTCCTATGTTTTTATCTCCTTTGATTATTTTATATGTACAGCACTTTGGTCAACAGTTGTTTTTAAATGTGCTATATGAATAAATCTGACTTTGACTTTACTGAATAACCCTGCACTTTATGTGTTAAAGCCATATTTTAGCTAAAAATCTGTATATATCTGTATATCTGTAAATCGGTATTGGTTGCCAACTGCAAGCACCTGATGATTTGACTACAGGCTTAAGTTTCTCAGTACTCACTTGTCACACCCTGCTTTAATCCCTCCACTGTTTTAGCTTTTTAACTTTTCTATTCTTCTCCCTACAATTATTTCAAGATGTTTATCTCAGCATATTAGCTAAGTATTAATAGGAGTCAGGCTAGTATTTGTATGAACAAAGCAAAACTCATCACTATGGTGCAATACTCTTAATTTCATGGTGGTAGCACTCCTAGTGTTTTTATTTGAGATCCCACATTTGCAACATACTTAGCAGGGAGGATGGGTGTGGTGCTGGTAATGTGGATGTGTTTTGAATATTCTTTTGACAGTGTCCAAATTTGACTAGTGCATTGCACTTGTGTTGGTTAGCAGGCTAACAGATATCCTCCCATTTTTGTACAGCAAGAACAAGCAGGTTAAGAGAATTATTTGTGCAAGTAATAATGAAGTGCACTCCCTTTGTAAAATGTTCTCTGCTTTGTAAGGACCACTGGATACTTACTTAATTATCTTAAGTCTGTCCCTACTTCAGTGGGGTTTTTTCTTGAATTGTCACATCCTGAAGTCTGAGGTGACAGGATGTATTCCTGTCAGTGGGCTGCAGGTTGACTAGCTGCTATGGTCTAAAAGCAGTAAATGCTAAGAAGACCTTTTAAACTATGCGCTTTTTAGTCGTATTGGTGAGATCAGTACACTTTGTGTCAATGTACAGTTGTTACAAGGTTTGTCAAAGTGTTACTCTCAGAACTTGGGGGTTGTTTTTTGTTTGGTTCAGTTTAAAATAAAATAAATAAAAAGCCATAATTCCCCCTTTGGTAAATGTGTAAATGTAAATGTGTGATGTTTGACCTCTGCATGAGGACAAGTATTCGTATGTTTCTCCATTTTGACAATCTATTTTGCACCCTTAAAATATAAAGTACATCTGATGTGAAGATGTTGACACACCAGCTGCCTGTTTGCACAAAGAAAAGAATTGTGCACACTGTCTCTTAGATCATTTTCAGCCCATTTTAGGCAGCTAAATGATTTAGTGGTATCACAAATGCTGAATGGATGAAGCCCTGGATAGAGAGTACAGCTCTGATCGCATGTGTGCGTGCGTGCTTATTGGCATACTCAAGTATGAGTGTGTGGCTTTTTACCCTCCCTTATATGTCTCCTCAATGTTGCTTGAGTCTCTAATCTGAGTCCACGTAAATCCACATGCAAACCACAGGAAGTCAGAGAACTGTTGGAGCAGAAACGCTGCATCAGTGTTGTATTAGGGTTGTAAAATGTGGATCATTAGACAGCTCCTGAATTAGATCCCCTTCCTCCTCTTTTACCAGACCTTGCTTTGGAAGAATGAGTATTACACCACAGCATATATAGTTTAATATCAAGAAACTAGAGAATCTAAATAGAAATGATAACACACCAGCAGCTATATTAATTCTCCATCAATTACTATGTAATGTACGGTAGTTATTCTGCAATATGTTCAAATTAATAAGTGCATGAATGTCATACAGATAAAATAGTATCTAGAATCTCAGTTCAGCTGTAATGTATAATGTATTGTATTGGCTTATATATATTTGAACAACAGTGCTGATATTGTTTTCATTCTGTTCCTGTTGTTATCTTGTGCTCCAGAGGTGCCGCTGGTCCTCTACCTGTTTCTGCTCGTCTCCCTAGTTTGGTTGTGGGCAGGACTCCATATGGGCTACAGGTACCTGTGGATGCTCATCCTCTACGTCATCTTTAACTGCCTGCTGGTGAGATCATTTCCTTTTCTGTTTGTTTGTTTGTTTCCTGTTTGTGCATATGTTTTCTTCTTGTTGTAATTAGAGTACAGTTAAAAGTTATAAAGTTAAAGCACTTCTTTTTATATCTTCAAGCTCGATGTGTGTACTCTTTCTCCAGGTTTGATTTTTCTTATGAAAGATATTGTTTTTACCTATCCAATCTCAAATTTTCAGCTACTCTCTGAGCTAAATGTTGCTGTAGCTGAAAATTTGAGAACGCTGCAGAGTGTGTGTGTGTGTGTGTGTGTGTGTGTGTGTGTGTGTGTGTGTGTGTGTGTGTGTGTGTGTGTGGAGAGGTATGATGAAGGGAAGTCCATTCACTTTGAAGGCCAGCTTTGATGTATCTGACGGGCAGAGTAAGAAGTGCCTCAGGTGTGGAGAGAGAGAGGCAGGGTTATCACTGTGTCATGTCTCACCAACGCCTCTCACTGCTATGTTTGTCCATCTCTCCACTTTATTTTTGTCTTTTCTTGGTCCCTTTGTTTGCATCTTTTTATAGTTTATTTACTCCCTCTGTTTCTCTCAGTTCTGTATTTCAGATGTCAGTGTAGCTAAGTAAAGATATTTCAAATGCAAGATAGATTACTCTACCACTAAATGCAGTCCAGTACATATTTAAATATTTGCACAGTGAGATCATTTTCACAAGCATGCCTCTGCATCACGCCACTACAGATTCCAAAAAAAGAAATAAGGATGGGAAGTGTAGATGCTGGGCTTCAATCTAGAGGCTTAATAAAAAATATAGTCCCTATAACCAATTTCCACCTGTTCAAAAGAAACTGGACAAAATGAGGACTGTCATTAATGATCAAATATAAAACCTGTGCAACGATATCATCGTGAACTCTGGAACACATTGTGCAAGTTTTTGTGGATTTTTCTGCCTTCAGTTATGTCCTTAGTGAGGGAAACGCATGCTTACTCATGTAACTGAGACATTTGCTTAAAAACTTTTGTCTTCTGGTTACTAAGGATTTAGCTGTGGCTCATTCATATCAGTAGCTTTATTACTTGTCTTTAAATTGTCTTCTGTCAATTTTACTTAACCTACTAAATCATACATTTTCTGGCGCAAAGGTTTAGTTTTGTAGAAGTGTTTAATGCATAATGTGTTTTTTTAAGAAGATACCCACGAAGCTTTCTGGATCAGTTGTGCTTAGTTTTGCACAATTGATTGTTTTCTGTCTTATCTAGTCCCTAAATGTTTGCAGTGATCGGGTAGACCACCATGTGCCTGTAACATGTGCCACAAGAGGTCTGTGACAACCAATGTTGATATGTAGCATCTACATGCTAAAGACAACAGCGCTTAACATAAGTAAACATCTCCTGTTAGTCCAGTGACTGAAGTGAAGTGATGTCAGCAGCAATGGTCATTGTCGCACTCGACACTTCTTCATGACCAGCAATACTTTGTCCATCCCTGTGACATCACATAGCTAGTTTGATTTTATTTAAAATGGACTTGTGATTGTTAATTTACATGCAAAGTTTTTAAATACATTTCCTCAGTTCTGCTTGTGTGTCTTTTAACCTGGGTAAAAATCCTCTCACTTAGAAACATTTCAGACTAAAAGCCTTTGTTTCCTCTCTAAATACTTTGATTTGTTCTTGGGCCCCCTCATTAGGCCCCTGAGGTATCAAAGTTCTTAGCACTGCTGTCACACAAACATACATCCGCCCACACAATAGTACAAAAAAATCTCCTCTTTACGCTAATTGGCAGATGACTAGTAGTTTGATAACACTTTTGCTCTCTAAATGAGGACTTTTGGGCTTTTTGGTGGCGACGTACAGTAACAGCTAAAAAGAGCTTCTTGCTACCTTATTTGTATTTCAGCAACTTAAATGTAGCTTAACTTTGACTTCAGATAGGACAAGTTCTATCAAACTTTGTATCATCTGGAAAAAAAGAACTGCTGCAATTGATTTTCAGCCGTGCCTCATACAAAGTTCCAGCTAAAACAGCAGCCTCTGGGGTCTGCACCAAAAGTACCAGAAGTAGGGATTTATCAAAGTGGAACGGGTAAGGGTCCCAAAGGTACATTGTGTCCAAGGATATTGATTAGCCATAAACAAACTCATCTGACCCACTTTCTACAAAGCACCACTAAAGAAAGGTCAGGATGCTGTAACCATGTACGAAGCATGGCTGTTATCATATTTATTTGTATGCAAGATTTGGGTTATGTGTTTTTTTTAAAGCACATTTAATTTGTTTAGCGGTGATGGAGGAAAAGCGTTGCTGTGAGAGGACTCATTGATCATTTTGTGTCACTGCAGAACTTCCATTAGGGACTAAATCGAAAAAAGAAAGTAAAGTTTAAAGAAAGCAACTGTGATACTTGCTCTCTGTCATGAACACTCGAACAGCAAGATTTAACAAAATATGATGATTGTCACATTTCTTAACAGATATGACTTGGTAACTAGAGTAATCTTACTTTTGTTTCATGATTTTGTGAACTCAAACCCATATGGAATATTTTTAGGTTAACTAAAGAAATTAAACTGAGATATTTTTCAGGACACGGTGCTACAGGACTGCCTTATTCTCCCAGTATTATTATTCCAGTGCATTTTTGAACATCTTATCCTTCCCATAGGTTTTCAATGCCGTGAGCTTGGAATTTGTTAGGCTGTGCATCTCTGCTGCAAAGTCAAGTACACTTGTTTTTTTGTTTTTTGTTTCCTTCATGCCGTGAATTTTCCATTAGGAGAATTTTCCATATTTACCTCATTGGTGTTGTTGATGTTAACTGCTGATTACTGAACACCATTAAACAGCTGCAGATGTTACAGCTGTGCACAAGTGTCTGTTGCAGAGCCCACATTGCTCTTTGGTTAGGTGCTGTAAAAACAACCTCTTGTTGCCAGTTAAAATCAAGCTGTGAAATACATCACATGTTTGCAGCTATACTGTGGAAAATGTGACTTTTTAGCCAACAGGCCACAGGGTTTTCTTTTCTCTCTACAAGCCTTTGATCCATCCTTTTACATAATACAGCTGTCAGTCACATCATGCTGAAATAGAAGACAATAATCAAATCACAACAGCACAACCCTTCATTATCTCCTCCTGCACGTTCGATGTACTGATAAACACTACGTCACTGTATCCGTGTTGTCAGAAGCCTCACAGCTGTGAAGCAGGACCATGCTTCATTACAATTCAATTCAACCCCCACTTGCACATTCAGCCTTGGCACTGGCTAAAAATAGGACACAGGATATGTGTATATTTTTATGGAAAAGAAGGCGGTAGGCAATTAGCTGTGTGAAGCCTGGAAGTATTTAGGGTTTCGGTCAAACAGCTCTTTTTCTTTTAGCACAGAAAGCACAGAAAAATCTGCAGACACAGCACTTTTTGCAGTTGATGCAGTTTAGTATATTTAATCACTTTGAAAGAAGTCAGAAAACTTGAGAGCTATTTTTTAATTATCTCAGTTTTCTAATTTTATCATCTTGCCCCCCTGACAAGCAGTACATTTCTTTAGCTCGTTGCTGTTGTCATTTTTAAACGCCCTACTTAAAAACCCACAAAACAGAATGCTGTGTAAAATTGTACTCAAAACTTTGCAAATTATTTAAACACCATAATTAATTTAAAGTAGCACAAAGGCAACATGTCAAACTATGAGATTTTATTGTTTTTGATTTGATTCATTTTAAGGTTGATGCGGGCGACATGTTTTGAAGATGTTAGGAAACAGACCATAAAAGAGAAGCAGCTTAAATAAACCCTGCAAATCATTTGAAAAATTGAGAATAAACTTTCTAAATATGAAATTAAAAAGAATTTGAGGATTTTGTCATCTCTGAAATGTAAGATCCTTTGTGTATCTCTGTACACAAAGGAGAAGGCCAAAAATGGCACAAATGGCAGTGATGTGAGATTCTTTTTGTGAATGCCTGCACTTCCTCCAGGATGAACACAAAGGGACCATCAACTTTGTTATCAGCACACATTTCAAAAGCCAGCATGAGGGTGTTAGTGCACCTAGCATGAATAAGTTACCAGCATCTGAAGGAACTCTTAATGTCTGCTACCATCCAGCAACTGTTTTCTTTCAACAAGACACAACCAAACTACATTTGTATTACAACAGCGTGGCCCTTTTGTAAAATAGCCTGCCTGCAGTCCAGGTCTGTTACCTATTGAAAAAAAAGCTGGCACATTATGAAACAACACTGCAGTGAAGAGAGCACCAAACTGTTGAGCAGCTTAAATCCTCCACCTAAGAATGGGAAAATATTTCAATCTAAAGAGTTGTTGTTGTCCATGTTGTCTTTGTCTTCTTTAAATGTCAGGATCATTATGATTTCAATCATGCAAATCATTGCTTTCATATGTACATTTTGCTCAGCACCCCAAATGATTTTAAACAGGGTTGTATCCAACACAATCAAATGCTCCTTCTCACGGTCCGTTTCACATCCCTCAACACCATCCCGTCCTTAGTGTCCTCTTTTGGACTTTGCCTTCGATCTTCAAAGACATGGACTCAGCGATCAGGGAACACTTACATAACTTACCTATGGCTGTTAAGCCTGTTCCTCAGGCCACACAGCTTGCTAATGATCTGTGCTAATCACCCACAGTGCTGTTGTAATGCAGAAATGCTCATGGATAAAGACATACACACCCGTATATGAATACACACCTGGCTGCTTTCTGTTCCATGTTACATGCGAACACACAAAGGAAGACTAATTACCTTCTTCAAGCTATACGCAGAAAATCCAAATATATATATCCAAATATAAGGTCATAACATCATTATGACTTTACATATCCCTCAACATAGCTCCTAGCCATGAAGTGTCCCATTTACTAAAGGACATGGTTTAAAGCTCTCATTTTGCAATTCATGCACAATTACCTACAAGGCACACTAATTTATGGGAACACAGTGTACGATTCACCAATCTGTTTAAGTCACTGTGTCAGAAAACAGCAGAGTATACGGCACTGTTTTTAACCTGCAAGGTCTCCAGTGAGCTTATAAACAGGCTTTCTTTCCTTCTCATAATCTGGATATTCCAGTTTTATAGTGCCCCCATAAACACACAGTTCTGATTTACTGTTCCTGCTCTCTTCCTATTAATGTTTACTGTGGCCATCCAGGCTGCTTATAATCCCGTTCTGTCAATAAACTCAAGATGAGTAACGTTGATTGCTCTGCCAGGAAAGTTGAAGCTTAATTACAGACACGAACCTTATGTCACAAAGTTTGATTTAAGGATTTGAATAAGTTGGGGAGTTGCACACACACACACACACACACACACTGACAGATTGATATTTATTTTCACAAAAAAGCAAAGTGTTTACATTTGGTTTTATCAATGAAACAATCAGTCCGTCAGGTTTTGCCTAAACATATTTTATTACTGTATTCATTATTTTCTTCCATGTTGTCCAAAAACATACTTTCTCTCCCCATGTGTAAACGTCTTTAATAGATCTGTGTTGGCCTGTATTCACACCCGCTTGTGGTTTGCGCTCTTGTGCGTTCCGTCTCTGTCTGTGGCTGCCATCATCGCCCGATGATGGGTGTTGTGAAATATGGGCTGGATTCGTGGTATTTGACGCCCTGGTGTTTTGGGGTAATTCGCATCCTGGTGCTGTTGACCAAGCAGATAATGGTAATGATGAAGAAGTGGAGGAGGCAGAAATACCAGTATGCCAATGATGTCACTGCCCCAGTGGTGAAGTAATGCTTCAGTAATCATGCTGAAAGAAGTGAAAGAAGTTTAATTCGGAATGCAACAGCAACACGCTGCACAAAAATAATAATGAGTATAGTATTATTTAATATCACATATGTTTATGTAATATGTACAGAGCTTAACAAATCTATTAGACTACCACTGAGTGTGAGGTTTAAGCCACAGCTGATCTAAATCAACAGTTCTGGTAATTACTGAAATCATTTTTTATGTCTCTGTAATGGTTAATCCACCAGTTATGTGCAAGCTCTTTAATCCAAACAATATTTTTATGCTAAAATCTATTTAATTTTATTATTCATTCATAATTTTATTATTTTACAAAACAGTTGGAAAGAATAGTAAAGCACATTATTATTTTTAATTAAGCTCCAAAAGTACAGTTATTTACTTGCATTCTTGAATAGAAAATTAGGTTTGTTTGATGAGTATTTTGTGAGTTTTCTTAGAAAATGGGTTTAAGGAATAGCTATATAATTTTTTATCTTTTGACAAAATTTCTAAAATATTTATGTCTTTTTGCTTTTATGATAGGTGGTCTAATGAATTTGTGACGCACTTTTTTGGATCGTTTGGTTCTTTTACCCTCCAAGCCTGCCACTGCAGATTGATTGAGCCGGCAGTATTACAGATTTCAGATTAATCATACTGAAGAGCAGAGCCATAACTTATTCCTAATGTTGAATTTTTCTCCCCACTGCTTTCTCTACAGGGCTTGTATGTGTTTGCTGTGTACTTCATCATGCACAACCAGCTGTGTTGGCCAACTAAAGCAAGTTACACAGTTGAGATGAGTGGACAGGATGGGCCGGATTCTATGTACCAGGGAATGGGACCCACCCCTGTGGGAGGCGACATCAGCAAATCAACTCAAAATCTCATCAGTGCCATGGAAGAGGTACACATACAGAGCTTACATTGTCATCACATTGACACGCTTATGCAATCAAAGGCTGACATATGGGAATAGTTGGTTACACAGATTTACAGCAGTTATCGTGCATGTGTTGCCTAATCTCTGATGCCTGGACTTTTCACATTTGTATTTGACTTACTGATTAAGAAATCCTCATTTCAGGCATGAAAAGAAAAGATTTTGTTCCCCATCCAGACTGTTGAGGTCTGATGATGACTTTAACTCCCATTCTGACCACACATCCATTACAGTTTGTGGTTGAGTTTGTTAGAAATGTGTAGAAATCTTGCATTTGAATGGCAGATGTGGTGATGACGAGAAGAAACCATAGTGACAACCATGGATTACATGATAGAGTAATCATTTGTTTTGAGGAACTTCTGTGTCAAACTACTGTGAAATTTAGTTTTTAAGACTAAACTTATTTCTGCTTATTCTTCTTTAACTCTGTTTCCCACGGCTCGTTTGCACGTTCGCCGTTGTCTAGTTTACATTTCTAGCACATTCATACTGATTCACTTAGATTTTTCAGACTGATTCTCCTGCTAACAGCCCCATCAACTTGTTTTGTGGTTTTGTGACCCTTCTGTTAGACTTGTGCATTGCTTGCAAGCACAGAAAACATGCTTTACGCAAACACACTGCTACACTAATTCTGCCAGTCGTACTCTGGAGAATACCCTATAAGGACTGAGCTGGTGTGAGGGAAGGACAGAGAAAAAAAAAAACAAGGGTGGCGGGTCGGTGTTGTGGGGGGGGGGGCTTCTTTTCCCCTGGGAAATCCACCCTCCCTTTCTCTCTCTCGATCTCTCTCTCCACACGTAGGAATCCGGTAATCTTGTTTTATTCATGAGAGCACACTCTCGCCTCTTAAAGATTTGGTTACAGCCCAAGAAAGAAAGGTGCAGTTAGAGACCCCTGAGAAAAGCAGCACTAGGGGTAGATTCTGGATTTTGTGTGTGTGTGTCTGAGAGAAATGGACCGCTTGAAAGGAAATTAGAAAAGGAAAAAAAGTAGGTAACAAGTATAAGAACACATATTGCAGGTGGTGACTAGCATATTGGCCTCATCTAATCACTACAGCCCTCCAAAGTGGATGTGACAGATTTGAAGTGCCTGGTGGTGCTTAATTCACCTCACCCGTACACTCTGTACTGGTAACAGCAAGCCTGAGAAGCTTGTACAACACGTACCCACGTTTATGCACGTCCATGAACAGATGAGACATTCATAATGAATTAATACAACAGAAAACACGATGAGATAATGGAATAATCTGGTTCTTGAGGTCAAAATAAAAGAGATATCTTCTGGTTCCTCTCTTTTGCATTTCTTTTGTTCTTTCTAGTAACTTCTGTGATTTGTTGTGTTAATGCACGGACATTCATCTTGAAAAAACCCTCTATATACACAGACAAGATGCCATTTGTATAGCCGTTAGTATGATTCAGTAAGAAACTCTACACTGACCTCACTTTCACCCCTTGCACCCACTCTGACCCTGTGGGATGACTTTAATTCTTTGGGGTGCTTTGACACCATGCACTCTACATAACCCAAATTCATCACAGTCATGATTACTGTTTGCATATGCGAGTATATGTTTGACCTCAGTTTATCCTGTTTTTGGTTGTTTTTTTTGTGTTTGTTACATTAAAGACTCATGTTTTTTTTACAGCTCATAAACTTTCATAAACCCATATTTTATTCACAAAACACTACGGAAACCATATCAAACTTAGAAAACTGAGAAAATGTATCATTTTAGGCATAATATTAGCTCGACTTGACTTTGATTGCAGGAATATATCTTCAAAGATGAGATAGGCGCTACAAAAACCTGGAAATGTAAGTGGTACTAAACAGAAACACCTGGAGGAACAATTTGCAGCTAATAAGGTTAACTGACCACAGGTCTGTGAAATGACTGGGTATAAAAGGAGCATCTTAGAGAGGCAGAGTTTCTCAGAATTAAAGACGGGCAGATGTTCACCAATCTGCAAAAAAAAGCTGTTTAACCCTCTCAGGCTCAAATTAAGTTTTAGTTGCTAATGCACAACCAAGTCCTGCAGTGGTACTTCTGGGTAAAAAAAACTCATAAAATATGTATGTGGGGTAATCAGGTTGTTAGTTTTTAACTGTTGCAAATCTGCAACGCCTGCCTCGAGAGGGTTAAGGTATTGCAGGTAATTGCTGAAAAAGATGTTGATGTCTCATCATCAATCTGGAGGAATTTCTGTCCATGAGAGAAAAGGCCAAAAATCAATACTGGATTCCTGTGATTTTTGGGCCCTCGGGCAACACTTCATTAAAAAAAAAGGTTTTATTCTGTCATGGAAATCCCTGCAATCCCTGCCCTGGGCTCAGGAACGGTTCCACTAATCATTTTCTGTGAACACAGTTCACTGTGCCATTCACAAATGCAGGTTAAAACTCTATCATAAAGAAGAATATGTGAGCATGATCTAGAAATGGTGTCCTCTTGTCTGGGCTAAAACTCATTTAAAATGGACTGAGGCAACATGGAAAACAAATGGTCGGACGAATGGAAATTCTTTTGGGAAAACACGGACACTGCATCCTCCAGACTAAAGAGGAGAGGAACCATCCGGCTTTTTGTCAACACCCACTGGAAACTCTGCTTCTCTGATGGTATTGGGATGCAGCATTGCCTGTGGATTTGGCATTTGTATCTAGAAAGGCACCAACAATGCTGAAAGGTATATACAGGTTTTAATGCTTCCATCCAGATGTTCACATTAGTCCTATTTCACCAAGACAATGCTAAACTGCAGTGTAGTACACTGTATTAGTGTGTGCACTGTATTACAACGTGGCTTCATAGTAGAAGAGTGCAGGTGCTGAATTTGCCTGCCTGCAGTCCAAACCTTTCACCAGCTGAAAACATTTAAAGCATCAATAAAAGGAAAACTGTGACAAAATAGATCCAGGACTGTTGAGCAGCAAGAGTGGGACAACACTCCTCTCTCAAAAGTCCAGCTACTGGTCTCCTCAGTTAGGTTGTTGTTTTTATGTGTGTGTTCAAAAATCACCCAATTGTACAGTTTCTCAGTTTAAACATTTGATATGTTTAGTAAGAATAAAATATCCATTTCTGAGAATTTCTAATTATTTCTTTCTGTTTTTATTTGCATTTTCACAGCATCCCAACTTATTTGGACTCTATGTTATATTTGGTGATTTTTTGGCTTGTCTATTTAAATACACATTTATCTATCAGGTTTCAGCAGACTGGGAGCGAACGTCACTGCGGCCTAGCATTCAGCCCAGCAGTGTGTTTAAGCCCAGTCCTGTGATGGAGACGTACACCACCGAGGGAGGCTTCATCAACACCAACCTGGTCACTGCAGATGAGGATTCACAGGAGTTTGACGACCTCATATTTGCCTTAAAAACAGGTGAGGAGAACTATACTACATACCTTTCAACAGATTACACAGGAAGCAAGTGTCAGAAACACAATTTGATACTGAATATTCCTTTGGGTGTTTTTGCTGCACTAAATATTTTGACATAAAAGGACAAACACAGTATGCTTGAGAAATAAATCCAATTTCACCAGTTGTGTGGTAGGTCTCAGTCAGACTACAGTAAAAACAGGACAACAGCCTCTGTGTGACCAGGATAAAATTAATGGCTGGGGAGTGATTGGATCCAGTTTTTTGATGTCCGGGAGTGCTTGCAGGTAGCTCTAGCAACTGGTTTGCCAGAGGCCAAGCATGCAGCACCCCCAACCTGCAGTTGCTTACATCTATGTGCTTATAAATTATAAATTATCATCTGTTTACATTTGGTCCAGTCTGTGGCTGACAGAGTCACACCTGATGCGTAGATTCTGCCTAAGTCCAGCTCTGGGCCCGGTTCAGCATTGCATTTCTGATGTTCTGATGGGTTTTTTTTTTCAAAAACAGATTGACCCAGTTTGACCCAGTTTAGTCTAAAACTGATAGCACTGACTCCACCTTATTGCCATTATATCCCTGTTTTATCACCATCTTGATGCATCAAAGTCAGTTTGGAGATGGCGTCTGACTGCAAGCATACTCAGACCTGGTCCACATCTTTGAAGCAACCATTTCAAAAGCATAGAGATCAGAAGTTGATTGCACACAGTCGCTGTAATTTTGGTTGTGCAACAGTAGCCAACCATTTCTTTCCCCGAGTGTGACCGTAGCCTAAAAGCAGAAAAAGATGTTATGACTTCCTAAAATTTAGATTGAACGATAACACAGAACGAGAGATGATAAAAATCAGCCTGTGATTAAATGCCACAGTGTGTGTGGTGTGTTTGAGTGTCTGTGTGTATATGTGTGTGCATGTGTTTGTGATTATTATACCCTGTACATACATAAAGCATCTAACAGTGCCTAATGCATCCATTAATCCAGCAGTATCACTTCTGCTTTGTCATTCATTTGTTGACCTTAAGTCTCTCAGCTGTCATTTTTCCTCTATTGCCATCCATGTTTAATGAACCGAGGGCCTAGCCTGCTCATCAATACGCAACCAGCGCATGTAAACACACAGACACTATTCAAATCATTGAGACTTTGCTTCACAGTGTCCGAATGAGCCGTTTCCACACGTCTGAAATCAAGGTCATCCACTGCAGACAGTCTGAAAGTCGTGCCTGAAACATACAAAAGAGTATTTGTATAGTTAATATTGTATTAGATGCTTTTGTAAGTCTTACCTGTACATCATGCAGTCAGCCGCTAGTGTTAAATCTCAGTAATATAAAAGACATTACAAAATGGGATGCCAATATGTCAGCAAACTAGGTTAATGTTACCCATTTAACGGGTAAAAAACCTACTGTTTCAGCTCATCGTCAGTCATTGTTATTCCCAACCTATAACGAGGACTCTTGATGAGCAGCTAACTATTGCAGCAGCAAGAATATCTCTCACAGCTTTGGTGTCACGTCATGGAAAGAATAAGTGGCTGGTCCTCTAAAATTGCGATTACTCTGGAAGGGATAAGAAATACATAGTCGAGATAGACCAACCTGATAAGACTCCAAAGTTAATGGGACTGTGGCAGGTCACACTGAATTTCACAGGTAATCTCTTGGGGTTCAGGGAAAGAGAAATAGTTTTCAGAGGGAGTACAGTAATCATTAACAGTTCTTCAACAAGCCAGGCTTTTGGCAGCTTTCACGGCATTGCAAGCTACAGTCCTGCAGCTTTATCTGACTTTGTGAGAAAGCTTGTTCTGTTTGGGTCATACAATACCTGACTTTTCAGTCTCGAAAACCACACCAGGCTCCACTATACTGAAGAAACCCCCTAAAAGCAAAACTTGTAGCTGTGGAGAGTCAGATTAACAGCAGGCATGTTGATAGATGCATTTATGTGAAAGTTAAAAACTTAGACAGAGAGAGAGGTTCTTATCCTCTTATTGTTTGTGTGGTGACAGGGTGAAGCAGAGCCACTGTGTCTCTGTCACTCTCCATTTCACTCTCTCTGTTTCTCAAAGAGTACCTGCTGTCCTGATTTGTTGTGATGTTTGACTTTGAATAACCTCCGGGATGCAAAAGACATGCCAGGGAATTTATTGGTCCCCACAGCAAACTCAGCGCTATGAAGTAATCTCTCATATTATTCAGCGTGGTAAGGAGGGAAGTTTGCAAGGTTTAATTAAGTCAAAGTGTTTGGCTCTATCCAGATCTTTGGCATGGCCTCAAGAAAATAAAGGTAAATAAAAGTTCCTGTAGTTGATCTTTGCTGTGTGCAAAATGAAGCGTAAATCTGAAACTTCTGTTAAAAGATGTTTTCGTGAAACTCGATACTGCGCTGATGTTTACATCTCAACTCTGTCATTAAATTATCATTTTTTGCTCCACCAGTCACAAAGGACACTCTTTCATTTCATACTTCCCCTGACCTTCTCTTTGCTCGTACCAGCCGTGCTGAACTTATAACCTGGGCTAATCTCAAGCACTCAGTCAGCAGTAAAGATAATTTTCCTATTATAATTACATAATAGGGTTCCAGCTGACAGGGGTCAGCAAGTATTGCAGTAATCTGGGTCTTCGCACTTTGTTTGATCGTGAACCATTAACCACATATCGAGGTGCACGCTCTTATCTTGGCACCTGCGCCCGGTGCTGTTTTGTACAACTTAGAGCTGATCATTAACACGGCATAGGATGGAGGTTTGAAGGATCTTATTTTGCAATCATCGCTGGGTGAGTTTCAGTGCAAATCCAGCAACGTTGGCGCTCATTATCCAACTCTTCTCAAGTATGTCAAGCTGAAAGCATCCAGAAGTCACCAAAGCACAAAAGAACAAGTCTGATGATGTTTTTTATTCAGATAAAATCTGTAGCAGCCCTAGCGTTTATAAAAAACAAGTCCAGTTTTGCATTTTTAAAAAGCATGTGTTTAACATATTTTTGATTATGTTTTACCAACATGCAGTTACGTGGTTTACCCATTAACATATAATGAATTATTTTGTTTCTCTACCTGCCTCCAGTCCAAGCATGTTAGCCTGTTCCCTTCACGTCTCATTACCATGACTGATCAGACTTGATATCCCAGAGTTCATGACATGCAGGGATGATTTCATAATAGAGCAAAATAGATCATTTGCTCTATAAGGACCGATTATAGTGGGTATTAGGTGGTCCAACTTACTAAGCGCTATAAGAAGAAAAATGCACGTGAATATACTGCAGAATAGAATGTATAAAAAAATACAACGTATCATATTTTTGATAAAAATGCAATGTTTTTGTTTCTTCTTAGGGACCGGCCTTAATGTCAGCGATAACGAGTCCATACCAGGAAGCCACGACGGAGGGAGCGTAACCAACTCCCAGATAGTTGAGCTTCGGCGTATCCCCATCGCCGACACACACCTCTAACCTTCACACCTCACACAGATCCCACGTCCCTCTGTTTTTCATATCACAAATAAAGATTACAAGACAGTATTTTTATATTGTAAAATCCTTTGCACTAAAACAGTTTTTGAATAGATGGTTTTCATATAGATGTTTGATACTGTATGGGATTTTTACTGTACATGTGTTCACAAATACGAATAAATGTTTTACTAAATTTATTTTTTAAACGCTCTTGTTTCTGAATGTATATTTTGTTTTGTTTTGTTTTTCTGTAGAGACCTAGGCAAAGATAGAGAATGTAGATTGTGTAACTTTGTCAATAAATAATGTACCACATGAATTGTGTTTGCATGTTCTGATTTCATTTTTACGTCTCATAACTTAACACTAAGAGACAGCTTGCTACCAGTGAGCGGGTCTTTCACTATGGGGTCCCAGAGGTCACACTCTCACAAGGAAGGATTTGTGTCATTATGTAACTCCCTGCAGGAATTTCACAAACTCATCCCACACCTTCGGGAGATCTGCTTGTATCTGCACTGAGTGAAGAATGAGTGTGTGAAAATATGAGGCAGCAAATATCCACAGTAACGGTTGAGCTATGCAAGCTATTCAGTCACATTTTAATCTAATGTGCGAACTATACTCCCTAAAGAGTCAGTGAGTGTAAATCTACAAAGACATACTCCACATTCAGGCAACTTCTTGGAAACCGTCATCTACCTGACCTTCGCTCTGCCTTTTCCTTCATCAGCCCAACGTTTAAACCTAGCTCCTGGAAGTTGGCAGCACAAGAGACTGTTACTGTTACTGCAAAATAGGAGTGCACAAGTGTGAGATTCGCAAGAGGAAACAAAGAAGAGACAGCAGACACGCTTGGATTTTGAACAATGTGACAATCATCAATCCACCTTCTTCATTACAACTTCCAGGATAGGTGGAGCTTGATTGTGGCCATGATCCCAGCTGATAAGAGGAGAGCTTCAGCAATAAGAAGTGTGCATCTTTTGACCTTAATGAGCTTCCCAGATAAAGTCCCACCCTGACAGTAACTGATAGCTTGGTGTTGATGAAATAGTTTACCTTATTCAGGAAGCGACTGTGGTATCCATAAATGATATCTGCTGGTACAGCTTTCCTTGTTGGAGTGAGACGGCATGGCTGGAAACCCCGTGGCATTTTGACCCAGAGGGAGAAGAATTGAACAAATGTTTCCAATAACGATGGGTGGAAAAGTTTTCTCAGACGTTTTCACTTGAAAGACAATATTTTTATTATTGATTGCTTTTTCAGTTTTTTGCTTTTCTTCCCATGGCATGTGCTTTAGATTGATCCTCTCACATTAGTGAGAGGCTTTACTCATGGGATTTGAAGGAACACATTGTAATGAGCAAAAAAGTCATCGCTTCATTTAACAAGATGGTACTCTGCAGTTTAATGGCAGCGGCTCTGGGGGATCGCTTTCTCCCGCAGCAGATGAGTCTGTAATAGTGCCGTTAACTTTTAATTGTCATCTACATTTCCTTCGGCCTGTTTTATTGTTTCCCCCCCTTCTAAGGGAAGCGTCTAACATGCAACCCATTCATGCATTATTGCTGCCTGGCTTACATTTGACATGACATATTTCCATTATATGTCCTGTAAGCTGCATTGTTTGCCTGTTAGCAACATCAAGAGAGATGCAAAGATTACCACATTTCGTGATACTTGGAGAGGTGGAGTGTGAGCAAAACATGAAAGAGCATGTTAGGGCTATGGAGGCTACAACAAATACTAACTGATGTAACTCCAGTCCCAGTGCACATAGCATACTTTGTAGTATTTTTAAATATATGATTACATGTGCTGATTTTAGACATAAAACCGTAGCTCAGGCTCAGACTGATTAAATGTGTTAGTGTGGAGTTGCTTGTTCCTGAGCACAGGATGTCTCAAGACATTTTCAGATTCGTAAGGCGCTGATTTGGTGCCCCATAAAAAGTAATAAGTTTGCTGCCAGAAGCCTGCTTCACAGAGTCTGAGATTAGATGAGCAGAGCTTAACTGGGGGGTGGGAAGTAATTAAACAGCCACAGCAGACAGCATGATGTCCCAACCCACCAGCCAGACTGCAGACAAACATGTTTATGTTGGAGTCCTTGGTCTCTTCTCACCCCTGAGCCTCTGGTCTTTAGATAGCAGATAACTAGGCAACAGCTGATTCACAGATCGCTTGCAGTCTGTCTCTATGTATGCCCCAGTGGTGAATCGGGACTTTAGCTCTCAGTGAGTCACCGCATCCTCAAAGGAAGGTCTGTCACAACTGGAGAAAACTGCCTTTCACGGTACCAATCGGTAATTTCCTGCACTGGAAAATGAAGCCACTGGCAGCAGAAAATTGCAATTCCACACATGGCCACATGAGGCTTGCTCTGAAAGTGAGTCTGTTGGCAAGTTCCCATGTTAACATAACATATAGATGCATTACACATGTTTACAGCATAGCAGAGGGGGAAAATGGTTTATAAATCTTCAGCAGAACTGTACAGGGATATGCAACTGTATAACTCACCCAGGGCTTAAAGTTTAAACAGTGTGACCACTTAAAGTGACAGGTGGAAGAAGCAGGCAGCTAATGTGTCACTGAACTGGACCTACTGGCAATGTTTTTGGTGTTGGCACCTATTGGTTCCTATTGTATTTTTAATACAGTTAATGCAGATTCAGATTCAGTTTTATGTATATAGTGCTAAATCACAACAACATTCACTTCAAGGTGCTTTATATTGCAAGGTAAAGACCCTACAATAATAGACAAAATTACAAAGAAGACCCCAAAAATCAGACAACGCCCTATAAGCAAACACTTGGTGACAGTGGGAAGGAGAAACTCCCTGTTAACTGGCAGAAACCTCTGGCACAACCAGCCTCAGGGAAAGGCGCCATTTGATTGGGCCTGATGGGAGGGAGACAGGGCTAAAGACACACTGTAGAAGAAACCCAGAGTTTAAAAATAATTAATGATTAAATGCAGAGAGGTGTATAAACACATAGAGTAAAAAGGAAAGTTTTCAGCCTAATCTTAAGAGTAGAGAAGGTGTCTGTCTCCTGAATCCAAACTGGGAGCTGGTTCCACTGAAGCGGGACCTGAAACCTGAAGGCTCTGCCTCCCATTCTACTTTTAAATACTGTAGGAACCACAGGCAAGCCAGCACTCTGACAGCAAAGAGCTCTATTGGGCTGGTATGGTACTATGAGAGCTTTGAGATAAGATGTTGTCTCGTTATTCGAGACCTTGTACGTGAGGAATTGAGGAAGTTTTGGATGATGCTTTGTAATCAACTTTATTAAATGGTAAATTGATAGTTAATTCAACTTTAGTATGAATTACAATGTTTTATATGCTTCTCAATTTCTGAAGCAGCATTCAGGTACGAACAGAATTTGGCACACACAACGTGAAAACAAGGATCCCTCCTGCCAACACTTGGCACACTTATCTGTAACCCAGTAATAGTGAGTGAAATTCTTGAATTTGTTAGCACTAATCAGCAGGCATGCGTGTCTATGTGATGCAGTGTATGGATCCACCTCGCTAAACAGGCTTGTGAGCTTTACCTGCTAACCACCCCACCCCATCCTCTAAATATGGTCAATTCTGTGTGTAAAAAAAAAAATTGCTGGTGACTTCATGAAGCTGCGTAAATGCAACTCCACAAACCAGTGAGCGACATCAGAGTGAGTGTATTCATGCTTTGTCTACAGTCTATATCACAATATCCTTCTGAAGAAAAGACAGTTATATCACCAGACAATAGGACATGGCGTGGTGTGTATTTGTATGCTCTGAATGACGAACGTTTGTTATGGCAACGGTCCTTAGGAATAACAGTAATCTTTAATTTCAGTGAGAAGGGTTTAAGCTTCTGAAACATGATCTTTCAGTTTTTAACCTCTTTTCTTTGTTCTTTTCTCTACACGATAAACGTCAACGTCATCACGTGTTTCCTCACTTTTGTGGTCTCTGAACAAGTATGGTGTTCAGGTGAGAATAATCGAGTCTGACATTTTACTGGTACATGCAACACCTGAGATCAGACTCCAATAGGATAATGACCCAGTCCCACCCATACAGTAAAGCCTCACAGTAGATTCTCTGTTCTGGGGAGTGTGTGGGGAGAGTGAAAGGAGAAGTCGGTGGAGGAGTAAAAAACACACAAAGTCGACCTGTGCCACCGGTTTTACCCTTAAAATGACCTGCTGTGTCATTATTTAAGGTTCATGCAGGGAAAACTCATATTCCACAGGGTAATTAAAGTGTCTATCACAACTGTGCAAGTGTCAGATTACATCTAATCGCTGTAAGCATCCCTAAGATATTATGTCTTAGGTGTAATTCGATCAACAGTGATGTCTGTTGGATAATCAATAACTCGCTTAGAGGTAATTTGAAAGTTGTGCAAGTTGATTATAGAGGTGAGGCAGTCAACATGGGATCAAGTTAAGAAGCAGATGGGTTAACATAAGTTTTCTCTTCATAATAAGAGGATCTAAAAGATTCAACTCAGACCCTTTTTTCAGTTTTCGGCAGAAAAGACGCAGAGCCAGCACAACTGCCTGCATCGCTAACCTCAAAATCCAGACGAGTTCAGCTGCAGATGATTTATGCCGTTACTAATCATGTGTGAATCTGTGTATTACGCACATGGGGCTTGTTCTCCCACCACATTCCCCATGCTCCTGTCAGCCTTCCCTGAAACACACCACAGAAGATAAACAGGGAGAGAACAGAGTCAGCGGAAGTTTCTCATCGACAGAAAGTTGCATTTAAGGAGAGAAGACACACGGTTAGTCACACAAGGCTGAACATAAACACGTCTCTCGAGGACACGCTGATCTTGTAGCACACGTGTTTGCATATGTTTAAACTATCTATCCATCTCAGCACGTGTCCGTGGGAGGAAACGGACAATGAGCTCAATGAGGATAGGAGTCAAACAAGCACTTGCATCAGTTCGCATGGATGCGTGCACGCTTGCAGGATGGAAAATAATGACCTTTTCCTTAACGAGATCAGAACATGATTCTCTTTCTGTTCATCAACAAGCCGAAGTGACTTAAACCATCTTGTCATGTACCGTCAATTACATGGCACTCAACACTATGGCACTGGTGTTTCTGACATCATCAACCGCTCCTGGAGGATATCCGGTGGCCTCATCCGTGCCAGCAGTGTCACAGAGATTGAAAACTTTGAGTATGTGTTTATTCTTGGGCGCCTGGATGAAGACTTTGACCTTCTCCAGCCGAGTCTTGAAGTAAATAGACTGCCTTTATATAAGATTTGCAGTACATTACAATA